GAATACCAAATTGAATGGAATGAAAGTATAACATGTATCTGAAATTCAGGAACGTTTGAATTAGTCTGGAAAATCCTGAAGTAACTGGAATGAAGATGACTGCTAAATAAAATAGGTAACCTCAATGACTGAGGATTTAATAAGTAATTTGGATAAGTCTGGAAACTCTGATGAGTTTACGTAGTGTACAATTACAATGGGTTATGAACAAATTAATCAAGTACGTCAGTATTTCATGATATTGTGGAAGTGTGGAAATGAAATAAAGACATTGGAAGATTTATTCAACGATGATTCCGAAAATGGTCTATGGACAAGAATTGTGGTATTAAAGAGTAAATACCCTAGAAGAACAATGAATTAACCAATCGACAGGCATTAGTTCTGGGAACTATTCATCTAAGAGTTGTCTGATAATCCGATCAATCGACATAGAATATAAATGTCCTGAACCTTCATATCTTCCTTATCAGCTCAAGTCACATTCTGAATAACTGATGATTCTGTCAGTCATTGAACTCTTTCAATAGTGATTCTGAATTCCGATATTCTATCGGTATACTAAAGATTCGTATTCCTCTACTTGTTAAGATTATCCAATATCTTTGAATACTATCTGTAAATTCTGGTGTGTTCCCTACTCACATGAATATTTGATCTGATTTTCGATTTGAATTCTGATATGATACTTGACCTGGAGTTTGATATGATACTTGACCTGATTTATGTTTTGATTTTTGATATATCCATTTATGGACGGACATATTTACTTGGGGGTAATGTTGGAGGAAGTATACCTGGAGGCTCCTCGGCTGTGTGCTCAGGGCCTTATTTACCGGTTCCTCGGCTGTGTGCTCAGGGCCTACTAGACTTGATGGTGGGTGTATGGTTCTGGGGAACCTACACAATTTGGACTTGTTGGATGGGGGTATGTATATATATATATTTATATGTTTTAAAAGATCAGTATCTTTTTACTGGTTTTATGGGAACACACTAGATAACCTATTCTGATCTCCTGAACTCAGTCATCCGAAATATTTATCTGAACTGAAAGCTCATTGTCCGTTACCACCTGAAATATCAGTAGGATCTCTACTCAGCATAAAAATCTGTAAATGTTCGGAAATAATAAGGAAATATATATTTATCTGTATCTGCACGTTCATCAGCATCATCTGGTAGTTCTGTATTACTGAGCTTTCCGAAGCTCACTCTATTACTCAACATTACAGGTTAAAAGAATTGTACCAATATAGCTATCAACATCAGTAAGGAAGTTCTTCCGACGTTGCTTGCAGAGTATGGTACATGTGATTAGGGGGTATGTAATTGCATTTTGTTTTATATATGAGTTTGGTAATCTGTTTTTATTTTTAAATAGTGAAAACTGATTTTATAAGTTTACATGTTCTGATAAAAAGGATTTAAATTTTCCGCTATTTTTACAGTGGGTCACTCCGGTGGCCCTAATGTGACTTCCCAGATTGGATTGGGCTACCCGCATCGGTTTGGGGGGTTACAAAATGAGCGTTGGAGAGCATCATTAAATTTGACCGTTGAAGCAAATAATATTGAGCGGTGAATCGTGTAATTATTGAGCGTTGAAAGGCTGTAATTCAACAACAATATTTGATGCATTTAGCAGCTAAATTAACGCTGCAATAATGCAGCTATGGCTGCAGGAATCTCCCAGCTATGGCATGCAACGCATGCATGAGGGACCAGGCGAGCAAGAGTAGGCGTTAAAGCTTGGTCGTCGGGCGTGCATGACGACCTACCATGTCGTTGGGCGTGCATGGCGACCTACCACGTCATCAGGATTGCATGGCGACCTACCCTAAGAACATTCGACGTGCATAAGCCATGCACAACTCCCACATGCATGCATAGCTCGTGAAATAAATAGTTTGAGGCATGCATGGCGACCTCCTAAGTCGCCCTGAGTGCATGGCGACCTACACCATCCTGCTCCTTGGTCGCTCGGATGCCATGGCGACCTGCATGCACACTGTAGAATTCACCATATCTCAACAAATAATATGGCGAGTGCATTATGTCGTGAAATAAAGAGTTTGAGAGTATTATCTCGTGGATTTTGACCATTGTTGGGACACTCCTACCACTAGACCCCTTTTATATTATCTAACCTTCTAGGGCGATTTTCCTGATAAATCACCCTATGTGCCTTTATTTCCCTATCAAGCACCGTTCAGACTATATTTCCCGATCTAACACCCTTTCCAGGAAGGCGCACCCCTGCACCGCGCTTTACGCTGATCTGGCGCCACGTGGGTAAGGCTCGCCCCCTGCAACGTGCCTTGTTAAACGTGTAAAAAATATGGGTGCTAATTTTGTAAATATTTTTAAATTGGTGCCTAATATGTAATTAATTTCTGTTAGGGTGATATTTGTGTAAAAACGCCAACTTTATCCATTTATTTTTTTGTGATATTATTTTTAACAATAGTTAATATTGTTTATTGACTTTTAAAATTAATTTTTTAAAAATATAAACTTTTAATTACAATTGAGAGATCAAATGAATTATTATTCACGTTTTCTAAAAATATATAAAAATGCAATAAAAAAGAATTAAAAATGAATAAAATTCAATAAAAATATAATGTAAAGCTAAAAAATATCACCTCTTTATTTAAAATATTCTTTCTAATATTAATTTTAAAAAATATTAAATAAATATTAAATTTTAATTTTATTAAAAATGAATAAACATTATTATCTGTTGTTAAAAAATAATAATTAATGAATAATAATTCATTTGATCCCTCAATTGTAATTAAAAGTTTATTTTAGTCAAGTTTATGATTGTTAAACAGTCGTAAAATTCAATCGTACAAAGTCAATAACTCAAAATTATCTAATTGTTGTCTAAAGATCAACTCAATTGTACCATGAATAAACATCCGATCAAAGAGTTGATCTTTTCTGTTCAATCTTCACAAAAACTGTTTATTTTAATATTTTTTTATATTTTTAAACAATTAATTTTAAAAGTCAATAAATTTTTCAAAAATATATGAAATTTATAATTTTTCAAATTATAAAATATTTATCATCATCATTATTTTGTAAAAGAAATACTAGTTATAAAGCTTTTATAAAATTATTCATATTTTTAAATATTTTTAAATATGCTTTTGTAAATTATTTTATAACTCGACAAATTTTGATTTTTGCATGAAATTACACAATTCATATATTTTTTTGCATGAATGTTATAAAAAGAAAGGAGCTCATACGCGGGAGAAAATGATGAGACAACAGTTTTTGTGAAGATTGAGCAGAAAAGATCAACTCTTTGATCGGATGTTTATTTGTGGTACAATTGAGTTGATATTTAGACAACAGTTAGACAATTTTGAGTTATTGACTTTGTACGATTGAATTTTCTTTCGACACGTAGCTTTCCACACCTACGACTGTTTAACAATCATAAACTTGACTAAAATAAACTTTTAATTACAATTGAGGGATCAAATGAATTATTATTCATTAATTATTATTTTTTAACAACAGTTAATAATGTTTATTCATTTTTAATAAAATTAAAATTTTATATTTATTTTATATTTTGTAAAATTAATATTAGAAATAATATTTTAAATAAAGAGGTGATTATTTTTAGCTTTACATTATATTTTTATTGAATTTTATTCATTTTTAATTCATTTTTATTGCATTTTTATTTATTTTTATAAAAAGTGAATAATAATTCATTTGATCTCTCAATTGTAATTAAAAGTTTATTTTAATATTTTTAAACAATTAATTTTAAAAGTCAATAAACATTATTAACTGTTGTTAAAAATAATATCACAAAAAAATAAATGGATAAAGTTGGCATTTTTACACAAATATCACCCTAACAGAAATTCATTACATATTAGGCACCAGTTTAAAAATATGTACAAAATTAACACCTGGATTTTTTACACGTTTAACAAGGCGCGTTGTAGGGGGCGCGTCTTACCCCACATGGCGTAAAGCGTGGTACAGGGGGACGCCTTCCTGCAAAGGGTGTTAGATCGGGAAATATAGTCTGAACGGTCCTGACAGGGAAATAAAGGCGCATAGGGTGATTTTTCGGGAAAATCGCCACCTTCTAGGGTATATTAAGTGGAAGAAAAAAAATAAAGTAATTTAAACATAAAGATCACTTCAATCAAACGATAACACATGATACCCTATGATTATATTTATTAAGGATCAAATATATAGTTATATCAATTTTGTTAACTATTTTTTCTTTCAACCAGATAGTGACATATGTCAACATCTGAGTGGAAAAATAATAATTAAATTAAATAAATTTAAATTGTAAAAAAGCCTTTAATCTAATGGTGACACATCTGATTAGGAGATTAAACTTATTGAATTAAATAAAATTATGACTAAATTGATGAAAATGTATAACTATTAAGGATCAAATGTGTAATTGTATCAATTTTGTTAACTATTTTTCGTTCATCCGGATGGTGACATGTGTAAGCATCTGAGTGGAAAAAATAATTAAATTAAATTAATTTTTATATTAAATTAATTTAAATTATAAAAACCCTTCAATCTAATGGTGACAAATGTCATCATCTAATTAGAGGATTAAATTTATTAAATAAAATTAAAATCATGACTAAATTAATAAAATATATAAGTATTAAAAACCAAATGTGTAATTATATCAATTTTGTTAGTTGCCATATCAGTACTTTTGTTAACTCTTTTAAATGTTAATGGCATGTAACTTAATTGATATCATTTAAACAGTTAAGTTATTTGTTGAAAAATTAAAAGAGTCAATAGTTAAATGAGCATAGGTATAATGTACCCTATTTTTTTATTTGCATTTTCTGCAAGCTATTTTCAATAAAACAATTACACGCTGCGAGCTACTTCGGTCTCCTTTCTAATAAACACACTTAAATTTGCATCTTTAAAAAAAACAATTAAATTGTTCACAACCAAACTAATTTGCATTATTTAAATATGAGAATATTAATTTCAAAGGCAACTGTAGAACGAGCATAACTGCAACAACGCAATACAGTGTTTTTGAAGACGAGACTATTCCACATACATTCATTATGAGCTTTTATACTACACTTAAAACTCCAGCACCATTTTACCAAACAAATTAAACCTTCAGCACAAACATCCACAACTACTTCACGATTCAAAGCTTTCATTTGATCACTCCTTTTTGGCAATTCATTCGGAGCTTAAAATAATCAGTCAGCTTTCACTCTTTCACGCCTGAATATCCAATAGAATACTGACCGAAGCCATTGCCACAACCGGATTAGCCAATTACTTCTCTTGGGTTTAGATTCTGGTCTTGGCCCGAAAATCCCTTTATAAATCTCTTTTTGCCTCTCGTATACAGCCTTGTCATGTTCAGCAAGCCTACGCAACTCTCTTGCAATAGCTTTGTCTTCAGGTGCATACTTACAAGCATTTAGAAAGTCTTCCCTTGCAGCATCTGTTTGCCCGAGCTCTGCTCTGGCCTTCCCGCGTCTGAACATTGCTTTCACATTATTTTCATCTTCTGATAATACCTGAGAGCCAAATGAGGATGTTAAATAACAAAGAAAATTACCTCACACTCAGTCATGCTATCTCTAAGAATATTGAGTACCATAAAGCGGCCAAACGTGAAAAAACCAGCAAGGTTAAAGACATATTTCAAGGGGTGACATTATAATCTAAGTGGCCGCGAGCTGCTTCATAACAAGTTCAGGATTGAAACATAAAAAGACCTCAAGTCAATGTTTAGTTCATGGATGTGTGAAAAAGAAATGACAAACTAACAGTAATCTTATTCACTGTCTCTCTCCAGCAATTAAACCGCCATGCAAGTTAATCACTTTCCTCTTCACAAGCCATGGAAATAAAAGATCAAACAGAGACAATTACAGACTAATTGTTTTTCAAGTTTTCCAATTAGACAGACTTTACATGGTTGCAATGCCAAATTACAGATCAACGAACGTTGAGAAGCCAGTTAAATAAAAAAGTAATGTCATTACATCAGCTTAAATGTTTACTTACAATGGAACAGTGTCCAATGGCTTCTTCATAGCGCTTGAGCTTTATCAAACATGCCGCCATGTTGAGATGACATGGATTTTTTACAGCTAAAGCCATGTCTCGATACTTCCCAAATAATTGGAACATGAAGTCATCACCCATGTATGCTATGGCCTATCACGGAAAAAAAGAGAATAATCATTAGAACTCACCAGAATAAACAAGAACTAAAAAGAAGAAAAATAGGCATGATATCAAATTCTAATTTAAAGGGAAATCAAATCTATAACCATTTCATACTGTTGCATGGCCTCCTCTAGCTTATCCTCCTGAAACTAAAAGAAAGGCAAAATACATGAGAAACAAACATTTATCAAGTTTCTGCTACTTACAGAAGCATGTTGAATACTTTGATGGCTTGTGGCCATGGCCCTCCTTAATGATTTGCTTTCTTACTTTTTCATGAAGAATTTCCATCTCGGAATCAACTTTTGGAGGTCCAGCAGCATCTTGAAGTGGTTCCCCATGCACAATTGCAGTACTTTCAGAAACTATTTCATTCTCATCATCTTCAACTGCGACGAACATGCAAAGATACTTAGGAAGTGTGGATCAAAATGTAAAATGAAGAATATCATTAATATAGCATCAATAAAAGGAATTTAATGCAGTGAAATGAATCAAATGGAAAGCTAAAAGAGCAGTTTTTTTTTCCAGAAACAACACCATGTGCAAAATGTGCTTCATAAATATCAGATAATTCAATATCCAAAAGGAAATACTGAGCTCGAAAAGTTACCATGGAATTGATTTTGGTGCTCCTTGGCATCCTCCATTACCTATATTCACTACCCAAAGAAACTACTCAGGATTCTGCGTACCCATATAAAAACCAAAATCAATCAGCTTCAAAATTGATAAAACTGGCAGTAAACTTCAACAATAATAATAACAATTCCAACATCAAACTTAAAATAATAATAATAAAAAGATTCATGCAATTAGGAAACAAATTCTGACACCATCAAAACTAATGATAAATAAATTAAACCATTTGGAACAGGGCTAAAATCATAGACAAACATCCAAATCAAATAACCATAATAACAATTCCAAACTCATGCAACTAAATTCCGGATTATTTCACAATGAAAAAGCAAGATCGAAATCAAGGAAGAAACACTTGATCAAATGCTAAAATAAAAAAAAAATCAAATATTATGCGAAAACCTGATTGGCAGGAAAAAGATTATGCTTCCCGCAAGTCAAAGAGCGCTTTGAGGAGTGAGCAAAACCTAAGCTGCAGATAAAGTGTATGTAATAAAAAGAGTTAATTGTGAAAAAGGCCTGCACACTATAATACCCATTCTATTTTTGTTCTTGAACTTTAAAACATTATATTTTAATTCTCAAACTAGTGTTGTCATTCCAATTGGATCTTACAGTGTTCCTACAATACAGATCTTGTTAAGTGCTACTGATGACATGTATCTCAATTAGATGATGAAATACACCATTATCTAATTAAAAGATATTTATATTAAAATAAAAAGTTTAAACTACATTTCACATCGTAGGATCGATCAACAGTCGATGACGATCATTTCTTGAGAATTTTAAAATTTTATATTATTTAAATATTTTTATATCTTTTATTAATAATTTAATTTTATCTACTAAAATTTTATGAATTTCATCTGTTAATATAAAATCATGTTCCTTCATTCTTCAACACTGCTTCACTTGTTAAATTTTTTTTTTGAATTGAGAAACCATATGTTTCATCTCATAACTGTAAATCAATTTTGATTTTGTATTATTTTTTAATTGTTTTGTATTTACTATAAAATAAATAGAAGACATTTTTTATTTAAAAAACATTCTCAACCTTTTGACATTAAGGCTCACGTCTTGACATTGAAGGTGCTCAAAGTCGATTCTCAAAGAATACTAATACTTCCTTTACCGCACATACCACTTGGTTTGTGTTTATTTTATTGTCATATATAGTATAAAAATGTAATAAATTTAATCTAAATAATAATTTCATATATTTTTTTAAAAAAAGTGTAATTATTCTATTTTTATTTTGTATTAACTTGAGATCATGAACTCAAATTTTAAATTTTAAAACTCTAAATTCGAAATTGAATCACAAGTCTTAAACTTCAAAATGCTCATTAAAACATGAACCCTAAATTCAAACTAAGCCAAACAACAAAAATGACAATCTCATTTACAAAGTGGAAGCAAAAAAAAGATCATTCATAATTAGTTAGAAAGATACAGGGATCCACTGTCATGTACATAACTATTTATGTTTTGAAAACCATTTTTATACATAATCTTAATTAAACGTTTGAGATAATAAATGATAAAAGAGATGACCAGTTTTCGCATCAACAAAACAACAACGATATTGATCAGAAGATAATATAAAGATAAGATTCTAAGCATTTCAGCAAATAATTGATGTCCAAACAAGATCAGTTGTTTACATGATTAACAAGCCAAAGGAACAGTTTAAATCATTTAGAGGTGGACAATAAACTGCTTTCAAATTAGCAAATAAAAATAAAAATTAAGGTAAATTGTATATTTCATAATCCATTTATTTTCACATTTCTATTTGATATAATGTCAACAAATGTCTCTAATATTTAATTGAATAACCACTTACGACCCACTAAATACAATCCCAAATTATAATATATAAAACAATTAAGCAACAATGCAAACTTCTTAACTTAGTAAACTAGTATTTTTTTAAAAATAAGAGGCCTAATCTAGAAGACTAGATTCGAACAGTTTCAAGGTAGGGAGGCCCTAAGACATCTCTGCTAATAAGGGGCTGTAAAGTCTGTGGAGGCGATGGGATCAATCTGGTGCTGTAGGAAGGCACACCAAGGAGCTTGGTGATGGCATCAACAAGCATATTGCACTCCCGAGGATTCCAGGTAATTGTTGTTGAAGGCAATGGATAGCTCGATCAAGGGAAAAATGGCTGGAGATTAACAAGGAGATTAACCGCAGCAAGGCAATCGATTTGAATTTACAAATGTTTCATGCCAAGAGACCAAGCTTCTTGGAGACTGATGTAGAGACCCCAAAGTTTCGATTGAAGAGCGTCAGTTATGCCAACTATCTTGTGAAGAGCGTCGGCCCTGCTTTTTCAAATATTCCATGCCAGAGACAATAACAATTAATGTGGAGCTGAGAATTAATGTGTTTCTCGAACCAATCGGTGAGATCAAGGGAGAAAAAAATCAAAGACAACAGTTGGGGAACTGTAACGTCCTGAATCCCGGGTTAGTAGTTCGGATCAACCCGAAGCCCAAAGTTGAGCCATTGGACCTTATTATATTAGTTGGGCCAAGTTGTTGTTAGTGGGTTTGAGTTAGGGCCCAAGAGAGTTAATGAAGGGAGATGAGTAATTCATGATAATAAAAATAAAGGGACTAAAAGTGTAGTTTACCCATAGCTATTTTGGAAGCTGAAAATTCATCCTTATATTATGTTTTCACCGTGAACAACCCCCTTACACAACTCACCAAACACTCGTCATATCTTCTCATCTTTCTCTCTTCTTCTATCTTTCTTTAAGTAAGAATCTCAAAGAAATTCAAGGCTAGTTGGATCCATCCAAGGTAAGATTATTAAACCTCACCCTTCTAGCTTCATTTTGAGCTCCCTTTCACTAGTTTTTATCCATAGAACTGAAAATGGGTCTTGAGAGATTTGTGAGAATCTACGGATTATAGTTAAGTTTTGAGTTATAGGGAGTTTGTTTAGATATTATTCAACCCCTAGATGGATTGATAATCCATTTTCTCATTTTGTTTAGTGAAGGGGTTAGGAGAAAGCTCAAGAGCTAAAGGAAAAGAAAAGTTGAATCTTGAGTGAGTTGAGAAAGTTTCTAGCATTCTAAGAAGCAAGGTAACACTTTTACAACTCTTCCATACTCTTAGTGAGTCATTAGAAGTTCAAAATAGTTTAAATGGTTGAGTTGAGCATAATAAGCATTTTCATGCTGAAATTCTTGTTTTAGAGATATAAATGTGTTCAAAGCTTCTATTATGACCCTTGTTGATCAAATAAAACTTTAAGTATATTTGGGGACCTCACTAAGGTCTTTGGGATTGAATTATAGCATTTTAGTATATGTTATATGATTTATGTAGGTAAAGTATCGATACTATTAGGATAGTATCGATACTAGTTCTTCGTTTTGGGGAAATTCGTGAGTTTCTGGGTAAAAGTATCGATACTCTTTCAAGAGTATCGAAACTTTAGGTCAGAGTTTTGAAACTCCCATAAAGTTTCGAAACTAGGCAAAATGGAATGTTTAAAAGTATCGATACTTATATAAACTAACAAAACTTTTGCAGTAGTATCGATACTCTTGGGTTAGTATCGATACTTTAACTCTGTTTTGGGAAAAATATCAGTTTTTAAGGTAATTAGACTCGAGGTACCCCAACACTTCTTTTTATCATCAAATAAGACTGCAAGTGAGAATATTGATGATATTAATTACACTTTGAAACAAGATTTATTAGGATGACATAAAAATAGCCTTGGATGATGCTCGGGAAACGACCAGGACACCCGAGTTCATTTAGGAAATGCTAGCATTATCGAAAGTATAGATTTAGTTTGGATATATCCTTAGGTAGGGCCGAGGCCCTTCTGACTAACTATGTTTACCTAGGCTTTAACACTCTTTAGAAGAATGGGTGAGTTAGTCAGGGGTATGGTTTCCGATGCAAAGAATTATATGGGCCATATCCAGGTAGACTAGAAGGGTGTGTGAGCTCCGAGATGCAAAACTCTTAGCCGCACCATGATGTCTACCATAACAAAGAGAGTGAGTATTCAATAATACTCACTAAAGCAATTTTAAAGCAAACTAACTTGAGCGTAAGGTCCAACACTCAAGGAGGGGCTAGTAGAACATATAGCAGTAGACTTGATAGCTTGAGCATGTCATGAACACTTTTAGTATGACTCAGTTGTTAGTGTGGCACTGGGCTAGTTAGCTCAACATTTGAAATTTGTTTCCTTACGCAAGTTAGTCGAGGAGAAGTTTCGAGGACTTTTTGACAGTAGTGATCTAGACCCAGTTAGTGCAGAGTACATCTCGAGTTTATCTTTGGAGGGCATGTATATTTGTAAACCCTAATTTATATATTTTTGTATGAGTCATAACTCATTTTAAACTATGGTTTGTATTATTTAAACATTATTTTGGAAGCTCCTAATGTAAACTATTTTATTTAAACTGTAGTTGATTATTTTAGCATGAGTGGTTACAAATGGTCATTTTAAAAGAAAAAAATTGGTTAGCCACTCCGGTAGTTCTGTGTGGCATTTTGATCGTCGACTGTGTGTCGTATTGGTTTAAGGTGTTACATTTAGTGGTATCAGAACGTCTGATTTAGACATTCCTAAGACCTGCAGGTTAGAGTCAGTAAGAGTTTATGAGTATACATTCCTTTAGAGATGTAAATGGTACTTCTACTTTTGAAATAGTGGTAGTAACTCCTCTTATTGTTTAAATTTTCAGAGTTAGATATATAGATGAGAACCCAATCACAGTCAGGAGGGTAGAGACGAGAGTAGAGCTTCCCTCGCGGGCAATATCGGTGATGATTTCGTACCTGAGACAGATTTTGAGGAGCCTGGGATGGGGGAGTTAAGGAGGCATATTTCTTTAGAGAGATGATTGCTACCCTGAGGTGTATAGCTAGAGCCTTACCTAGGACACCAGTAGTCCCACCTACTCAGCCATCCCCGCCAACCCTACTTGTTATACCTTCACATGAGTCCCCTGTTGAGAGGCTCCGGAGATATCGGACCATGAACTTTTTTGGGTCATAAAATGACGACCCAGTAGCAGTTGATCAGTGGTTGAGGGAGACTCAAAGGACCCTTCGTCAGCTACATCTCACTCCCAAATGTATGCTAGAGTGTGTCACCTCTTTACTGAAGGGTGACACAATTGACTGGTGGGATACATTTAAGATATCTTTGGAGCCAAAGAGGCCTACCTGGGATCAGTTCTTGGTGGAGTTTCGCTAGAAGTATATAGGTGAGGCTCATATGGACGATATGAGGGATCAATTTTTACAGTTAACTCAAGAAGATCATTCTGTATTTAAGTATGAGGTGGAGTTCCTTCGACTCAGTCGATAAGCACCAGAGTTAGTATCGTTGGAGCATTTTTGCTATAGGAGGTTTAGATAAGGCCTCCACCATGATATCCTCACCATTCTATCTGCATATCCCCCAGATATTTTTACCGAGTTTGTCCAACAGGCCAAGGCCTTAGA